AGAACTGCTGCTGAGGTCCCAACTCAGCAACGTAGTCCGTGCTAGAGGAACTATGGCCCTCTTATCCTCCTTCTGACGGATTGCAGAAGATAGGGTGCTTTGACCCGAAGACAAACCAAAGTACCAGGGTACCCAAAATGATGATCTGTCTGAGATTGAGAAATACCCTAGGGATAAAAGGTGGAAAACACGAGTAATAACACGGAGGGAGGGATGACCAATTAAGAGAATGACTGAGGCCTCCAGTCACCACGTAATCCAAAGTTATCTAACACTCACCATATGCTACTCTCGGAATGCACAATACACTCAGCACCATATAAATATGAAAAGTAATGAAAATATTGAAAAGCAACTGTATCAAAGCCAAGTACGCTTTCCACAAATTGATGTTCTAGTACCTGAGTGAAGCTCCGTGAACAGGCCCCCATTAAATGTGACGGGAAAGTGTAGGAGTGTGGATGTTCGGCAGTCCTCAATGGCTGGTGTCAATGCCTAGTCACACTTACAAAAAATAAGATAGACTGCTTGCCTGTTTGTCTGTGGTAAAGTAAAGGAAGACACGCAAAACACAAAGTATGAACAATGAAACTTTAATTGATATAGAAAACAAATAATAAACAAAGACAATCACTTGGCAATGTATAGTGCAAACAACAAGTCAAAAACAATATAACATAAATGAATAATAGGGGTAAAGTTACTCTACAATAATATAAAGTTAAAGGTGAAAAATAATCAGTGCTGAGAATATGGCGCTAGCTGCGAGACATCCACCTGATACAGTATATATCAGTTAGTTGTTCACTGCTGAGAGCACAAGGATATTCTGACTTCAATGGCTGGATCAAGCCCAGACATCGACTCAGGTAGAAGGCGCTGAGGTGCAGTGTGCAGCTGTGCAGTCGGCGAGTCACCAATCAGGAGCAGGCAGGCTGGGAAGGGTAGTTGGCTGGTTGATGACGAGCCGGCGTGGAGGGAGGGAGTAGGGGGTGAGTCTTGGGTACGTTTTGCCTCCTGGTCAAAACGTTTTGTGCTACTGGGAGACGTATCTTGAAGGTAGCATCTTATTCTTGTGTATTATACGTAACTTCATGTAGAGAAGAGCAGGCTCAATCTCTTTTGAAAGATTATCATCACAAATATATATATATATATATATATATATATGTCGTACCTAGTAGCCAGAACGCACTTCTCAGCCCACTATGCAAGGCCCGATTTGCCTAATAAGCCAAGTTTTCATGAATTAATTGTTTTTCGACTACCTAACCTACCTAACCTAACCTAACCTAACCTTTTCGGCTACCTAACTTAACCTAATCTATAAAGATAGGTTAGGTTAGGTTAGGTAGGGTTGGTTAGGTTCGGTTATATATCTACGTTAATTTTAACTGCAATAAAAAAAATTGACCTCATACATAATGAATTGGGTAGCTTTATCATTTCCTAAAAAAAAAATTAAAGAAAATATATTAATTCAGGAAAACTTGGCTTATTAGGCAAATCGGGCCTTGCATAGTAGGCTGAGAAGTGCGTTCTGGCTACTAGGTACGATATATATATATATAATATATATATATATATAATATATATTATATAGATATATATATATATATATATATATATATATACTCGAAATCTATATATATGTATATATATATATATATATATATATATATATATATATGCAACAAGCCTGAATGGTCCCCAGGACTATATGCGGACTGAAAACTCACACCCCAGAAGTGACTCGAACCATACTCCCAGGAGCACCACAACTGGTATCTACAAGACGCCTTAATCCGCTTGACCATCACGACCGGACAAAAGGAAGTGATAGCCGAAGCTATTTGAACCACTTCCCCGCCGGCACTCGGATGGTAATCTTGGGCATAGCATTTTATCAAATCACCTCATTCTTTGGGGCACACGTGAGGAACACAAGGCTTGTTTTCAGGGTTGTTCGCATTTAATGTGGTCTAGGTGTGTAACCGGATTATTCTTTCAAGTGTTTTACAGGTGATGCTGGACGCACCTTAGTGTGCGTGTGGGGGGGGGGGGAATAGTTAGTAGTAAGTAACAGTTGACTGAGTGACAGTTGAGAGGCGGACCGAAAGACCAGAGCTCAACCCCCGCAAGCACAACTAGGTAACTAGGTGAATGCACACACACACAACTACCCAAGCTGCAGGTTGCTGTAACTTACTGTGAATCTCAATTCTCATACGATGGTCCATTAACGTGGATCGTGATCAGGGTTGACAACTGGACGCTTTACAAGTCCCTGAAGACCCCCTCAGGCTGAGTGGGGCGGTTGCTGCCCCCAGCACCGCCTCACGAAGCTATTGACTTACACCAAACAATCTGGTCACAAGGCTATTGACTATTAACCCAAGCAAGTCTGTTGTCTTTATTATTATTTTATTAATGGAATTTGACCCAGGTAGTGGGCAATACCTCTCTGGTCAGGGCCAGTTGACTGTTGCCCAAAACAAGGTGTTGTGGATGCGCAATCGGCTCACGTTATATGAGCCCTGTTGGGCAGTAGTCCGCGTCGTCTGTTAACAACCAAGGATCCCGGGGTTCGAACCCCCGATCGAGACAGAGACAGTTGGGCACGTTTTCACCTGATGCTTCTGTTCACTTAGCGGCCAGATAGGTACCCGGGAGTTGCCACACTTATGAGGCAAAGTGAGGAAGGTCAGTAGTTGGCCTTGTGGACCTCACACTTCTGTTCACACAGCGGTTACAATAGGTGCCTGGGAGTTAGGCAACTGTTGTGGGCAGCATCCTGGTCAGCAGTTGGCCTCGAGCAGAGCTCCTCAGCCTACCCTTTGCCCCCCCCCCTCCCATATATGCACCCTTATTCACCAAATACCAGAACGTCATTCCTTCCCTTGCCTAAGATTCTCTGACTGAAAAGTGTCCTCCCCACTGAGGAGCCGGTCGGCCGAGTGGACAGCACGCGGGACCTGTGATCCTGTGGTCCTGGGTTCGATCCCAGGCGCCGGCGAGAAACAATAGGCAGAGTTTCTTTCACCCTATGCCCCTGTTTTCTAGCAGTAAATAGGTACCTGGGTGTTAGTCAGCTGTCACGGGCTGCTTCCTGGGGTGGAGGCCTGGTCGAGTACCGGGCGCGGGGACACTAAAGCCCCGAAATCATCTCAAGATAACCTCAAGATAACCCACTAATAGGCCTATATGCAGTAATACTGACAAATCTTACTCCATATTTAGTTATCTGGATTATTCTTATAGTTGAGTTTTGACAATTTAACAAAAAAAGAAAATAATGATGGATTTTATTCCAAACGTTTGAGTCTGTGGTTTAATTCACTCCCCCCCCCCCCATGCCCCCCCTTCCCCTCCCCCCTCTATGAAACCCTAAAATCCCCCTGGGGTTAGTCCCCTCTCCCCCCTGCCCCTAACCGGTTGAGACATGGCCTAGGGTGGGGGTGGGCAGTCCTCCATAAGCCTAAAAGGTTTCCTGCCGGCATAAAGGGAAACTCTATAAGTGCGAACCATATCACATGACACTTATCCTGTTGAGAGGATGCCATTGTTGTTATGGAGAGAGGCTCCTGTTTATACCAGTGGTGGGACTGGTTGTTATGGAGTGAGGCTCGTGTTTATACCAGTGGTGGACTTGGTTGTTATGGAGAGAGGCTCCTGTTTATACCAGTGGTGGACTTGGTTGTTATGGAGTGAGGCTCCTGTTTATACCAGTGGTGGACTTGGTTGTTATAGAGAGAGGCTCCTGTTTATACCAGTGGTGGACTTGGTGTTATGGAGTGAGGCTCCTGTTTATACCAGTGGTGGACTTGGTTGTTATGGAGTGAGGCTCCTGTTTATACCAGTGGTGGACTTGGTTGTTATAGAGTGAGGCTCCTGTTTATACCAGTGGTGGACTTGGTTGGTATAGAGTGAGGCTCCTGTTATACCAGTGGTGGACTTGGTTGTTATGGAGTGAGGCTCCTGTTTATACCAGTGGTGGACTTGGTTGTTATAGAGTGAGGCTCCTGTTTATACCAGTGGTGGACTTGGTTGTTATAGAGTGAGGCTCCTGTTTATACCAGTGGTGGACTTGGTTGTTATGAGTGAGGCTCCTGTTATACCAGTGGTGGACTTGGTTGTTATAGAGAGAGCTCCTGTTTATACCAGTGGTGGACTTAGTTGTTATAGAGAGAGGCTCCTGTTTATACCAGTGGTGGACTTGGTTGTTATGGAGTGAGGCTCCTGTTTATACCAGTGGTGGACTTGGTGTTATGGAGTGAGGCTCCTGTTTATACCAGTGGTGGACTTGGTTGTTATAGAGTGAGGCTCCTGTTTATACCAGTGGTGGACTTGGTTGTTTATAGAGAGAGGCTCCTGTTTATACCAGTGGTGGACTTGGTTGTTATGGAGTGAGGCTCCTGTTTATACCAGTGGTGGACTTGGTTGTTAGAGAAGAGGCTCCTGTTTATACCAGTGGTGGACTTGGTTGTTATAGAGAGAGGCTCCTGTTTATACCAGTGTGGACTTGGTTGTTATAGAGAGAGGCTCCTGTTTATACAGGTGGACTTGGTTGTTATAGAGAAAGGCTCCTGTTTATACATTGTGGACTTGGTTGTTATGGAGAGAGGCTCCTGTTTATACCAGTGGTGACTTGGTTGTTATAGAGAAAGGCTCCTGTTTATACCAGGGTGGACTTGGTTGTTATAGAGAGAGCTCCTGTTATACCAGTGGTGGACTTAGTTGTTATAGATGAGGCTCCTGTTATACCAGTGGTAGGTGGTTCCTGAATTAAGACTTTGCCTTAATCATTTCTATTATTTTTATCCGTCTTAAACTTTTGATGTAACTGTAAATTGTGTAAAATTTCCAAATTTCACGTTTTAGAATTGTATTGACTATATATTACTTCAAACCTGAGGCCTTAATAAGTATAAGTTCAAGGCTGGTGTATGCCGGGTTGTCTTGGTCAAGAGGTTACTTAAAGAGGTTTATATAGATCTCACAAGTGACATTACACTTGTGGGAGCCCAGATTCCCCGGGGTATCTCTACCCCGGGTGATCTGTACCCCGGGTGATCTGTACCCCGGGTATCTGTTCCTCGGGTATCTGTACCCCGGGGTATCTGTATCCCGGGGTATCTGTACCCCGGTGATCTGTACCCCGGGTGATCTGTACCCGGGGTATCTGTACCTCGGGTATCTGTACCCCGGGGTATCTGTACCCGGAGTATCTGTACCCCGGGGATGCTGTACCCCGGGTATCTCTACCCCGGGTGATCTGTACCCCGGTGATCTGTACCCCGGGGTATCTGTACCTCGGGGTATCTGTACCCCGGGGTATTTGTATCCCGGGGTATCTGTACCCCGGGGTAGCTGTACCCCGGGGTAATTGTACCCCTGGGGTATCTGTACCCCGGGGTATCTGTACCCCGGGGGGGTATGAGGCCCTATCTCTGCACAATTAACAACAACAACAAAAAGTTGTTAGATAGGAATTAACAATCAACGTTATCATTAATGAATGAGACGGTTCCATGTTTTAATTGTTCAGAAACAACAGTAAAATATTTACTAGTTTAGACAACTATGTTGTGTTATACACTATGTTGTATAATTTAGATAACTAGTTGTATTATACACCATGTTGTATAATGATTTAGATGAGTAGATTGGTCTCGATACCCGGGTACCTGAGTCTTGCTGTGTATTGTTTACAGCGTGTGAACTCACCTAGCTGTTCTCACCTAGTTGTGCTTGCGGGGTTGAGCTTTGGTACTTTGCTCTCGTCTCTCAACCGTCAATCTACTGGTGTACAGATTCCTGAACTTCTCGAGCTCTATCATATCTACATTTGAAACTTTGAAACTGTGTATGGAGTCAGCCTAAACCACATCACTGCCTCGTGCATTCCAATTACTAACTACTCTGACACTAAAAAGGTTCTTTTTAATGACTCTGTGGCTCATTTGGGTACTACGTTTCCACCTGTGTCCCCTTGTTCGTGTACCACCCGTGTTAAATAATCAATTCTTGCCTACCCTAAGTATTTTGTAGGTAGTGATCACTTCTCCCCTTACTCTTTTGTCTTCCAGTGTCGTGAGGTGCATTTCACGCAGCCTTTCCTTGTAACCTCTTAGTTCTGGGACTAGTCTACTGGCATACCCTCTGAACTTTTTCCAACTTCGTCTTGTGCTTCACAAGGTACGGACTCCATACTGGGGCCGCATACTCCAGGATTGGTCTTACATATGTGGTATACAAGGTTCTGAAGGATTCCTTACACAGGTTCCTGTAGGCAGTTCTGATGTTAGCCAGCCTCGCATACGCCGCCGATGTTATTCTTTTTATGTGGGCTTCAGGAGACAGGTTTGGTGTGATATCAACTCCTAGATCATTCTCTCTGTCCGTTTCGTGAAGGACTTCATCTCCCATTCTGCATCCTGCGTCTGGCCTACTAGTTCCTCCTTCTAGTTTCATTACCTTAAATTTACTCGAGTTGAAATTTAGTAGCCATTTGTTGGATCATTCCTTCAGTTTGTCTAGGTCATCTTGTTGGCTCAATATTGTCCTCTGCCTTGATCTTTCTTATAATTTTTGCATCATCAGCAAACATTGAGAGGGACGAGTCTATTCCCTCTGGGGAATGTGTGTGTGTCTATCAACTTGTGTATAGATTCCTGAGCCTACTGGGCTCTATCATATCTACACTTGAAGCTGGTTATGGAGTCAGCCTCCACCACAGGGGCGGTGTGTACTCACCTAATTGTGCTTGAAGGATCGAGCATTGACTCTTGGATCCCACCTTTCCAGCCATCGGTTGTTTACAGCAATGATTCCTGTCCCATTTCCCTATCATACTTAATTTTAAAATTATGAATAGAGTTTGCTTCCACAACCTGCTCCTTAAGTGCATTCCATTTTTCCACTACTCTCACGCTAAAAGAAAACTTCCTAACATCTCTGTAACTCATCTGAGTTTCCAGTTTCCACCCATGTCCCCTCGTTCTGTTATTATTACGTGTGAACATTTCATCTATTTCCACTTTGTCAATTTCCCTGAGTATTTTATATGTCCCTATCATATCTCCTCTCTTCCTTCTTTTCTCTAGTGTCGTAAGGTTCAGTTCCTTCAGACGCTCTTCATATCCCATAGCTCGTAACTCTGGGACAAGCCTCGTCGCAAACTCTGAACCTTCTCCAGTTTCCTTATGTGTTTCTTCAGGTGGGGACTCCATGATGGCGCGACATACTCTAAGACGGGTCTCACGTAGGCAGTGTAAAGCGCCCTAAATGCCTCCTCACTTAGGTATTTAAATGAAGTTCTAATTTTCGCCAGTGTAGTCGCCAGTTTTCGCTGCTGTCGTTATCCTATTTATATGTGCCTCAGGAGTTAGATTAGGTGTCACATCCACTCCCAGGTCTCTTTCTCGAATCGTTACAGGTAGGCTGTTCCCCTTCATTGTGTACTGTCCCTTTGGTCTCCTATCACCTGATCCCATTTCCATAACTTTACATTTACTCGTGTTGATCTCCAGTAGCCATTTCTCTGACCATCTCTGTAACCTGTCCAGGTCCTCTTGGAGGATCCTACAATCTTCATCTTTCACAACTCTTCTCATTAATTTTGCGTCATCTGCGAACATTGACATGTAGGATTCTACTCCTGTAAACATATGATTTAGTAAATTAGAAAGAGGATTGGTCCCAGCACCGATCCTTGAGGTACTCCATTCGTTACAGTTTGCCAGTCCGACTTCTCGCCCCATACCATTACCCTCTGGCTCCTTCCTGTTAGGTAGTTCCTCGCCATACTAGGGCCTTTCCGCTTACTCCTGCCTGCCTCTCAGTTTGTATAACAGTCTCATATGCGGTACTGTATCAAAGGCTTTTTGGCAGTCAAGAATATGCAGTCTGCCCAAACTTCTCTGTCCTGCCTTATCCTTGTTACTTTATCATATAATTCCAAAAGGTTTGTTAGGCATGATTTCCCTGTCGAGAACCCATGTGGGTGCTTGTTACAAACCAAATGCTCTCCAGGTGCTCAACAAGTCTTAGCCTAATTATTCTTTCAAGTATTTTGCAGGGGATGTTTGTCAGTGATACGGGTCTGTAGTTAAGTGCCTCCTCCCTATCACCTTTCTTGAAAATCGGTACGACATTTGCCTCCTCCCAGCAACTGGACAATTCTCCCGACATAAGTGACTCATTAAAGATCATTGCCAGAGGCACGCTGAGAGCCTGCGCTGCCTCTTTTAGTATCCACGGTGATACTTTGTCTGGTCCACCCGCTTTAGTTGCATCTAGTGTTGTCAACTGTTTCATGACCTCCTCTGCTGTCACCTCTATATCTGACAGTCTTTCATCTAGGGTAATCTCTTCTAACAATGGGAGCTGCTCAACTGTGGTTGTTATGAACACTCCATGGAAACTGGCATTCAGTACCTCGCAGATTTCTTTGTCGCTTTCTGTATAGCCCCTTATGTTTCCTCAGTCTTGTCACTTGGTCATTTACCGACATCTTCCTTCTTATATGGCTATGTAGTAATTTAGGTTGTTTTTTTTTCGCTTAGATTGCAATATCGTTCTCATATTTCTTCCGACACTCGTCTTATGTTAATGTAATCATTCCTAGCTCTGTTACATCTAATCCTGTTGTCCTCTGTCCTTTGTCTTCTGTACTTCTTCCACTCCCTCCTGCTTCTCACCTTTGCTTCTGACACTGTCTATTAAACCATGGGTTATTATATTCCCTCCTGTCTTTTCCTTTCCGTTGGAATAAATCTATCTTCAGCCTTCTTGCATTTCCATATGACTAGATTCATCATATCTTGCACTGTTTTTCCTCTAATTTCTTCCTCCTACTGCACTTCTCCCAGGTAGTCCCCTTATCCTTCTGTAGTCCCCTTTTCTGTAATCGAGTCTCCTTGCCAGGACCTCTTGTCCTTTGGTCACAATTTTAAGTTCCATCATGTATCAAAGACTAGGACACAATGGTCACTGTCTCCTAGTGGTATTTCATGTTCCAAATGCTCGATGTCTTCTTCGTTCTGAACGAAAATGAGATCTAATAGGCTGGGCGTATCCCCCCTCTTTCCCTAGTGTCTTTCTTCACATGTTGTTTTAGGAAATTCCAGTCAATAACGTCTACCAGCTTCTCTCCCCACGTCTCCTTCCTGCCATGGGGGATTCCTTGCTTCCCATTTTATCTCTCCGTGATTTAGGTACCCAATGACCAGCAGCTTCGCTCTCATTCTGTAGCTAATGTTGCTGCCTTCTTCAGTTCATCTATACATGCCTTGTTGTTGTCATCATACTCCTGCCGGGGCCTTCTACTGTTTGTTGGGGGATTGTTGAGTATCAAGACTACAATCTTCTTTCCTCCAGTCCCTGTGTGTGTGTGTGTGTGTGTGTGTGTGTTTGTGGTGTGTGTGTGTGTGTGTGTGTGTGTGTGTGTGGTGTGTGTGTGTGTGAGTGTGTGTGTGTGTGTGAGTGTGGGTGTGTGTGTGTGTACTCACCTAGTTGTACATCACCTATTGTGTTTGCGGGGGTTGAGCTCTGGCTCTTTGGTCCCGCCTCTCAACCGTCATCAACAGGTGTACAGATTCCTGAGCCTATCGGGCTCTGTCATATCTACACTTGAAACTGTGCATGGAGTCAGCCTCCACTACATCACCCCCCTAATGCATTCCATTTGTCAACCACTCTGACACTAAAAAGGTTCTTTCTAATATCTCTGTGGCTCATTTGGGCACTCAGTTTCCACCTGTGTCCCCTTGTGCGTGTTCCCCTTGTGTTAAATAGACTGTCTTTGTCTACCCTATCAATTCCCTTCAGAATCTTGAATGTGGTGATCATGTCCCCCCTAACTCTTCTGTCTTCTAGCGAAGTGAGGTTTAATTCCCGTAGTCTCTCCTCGTAGCTCATACCTCTCAGCTCGGGTACTAGTCTGGTGGCAAACCTTTGAACCCTTTTCCAGTTTAGTCTTATCCTTGACTAGATATGGACTCCATGCTGGGGCTGCATACTCCAGGATTGGCTGACATATGTGGTATACAAAGTTCTGAATGATTCTTTACACAAGTTCTGAATGCCGTTCGTATGTTGGCCAGCCTGGCATATGCCGCTGATGTTATCCGCTTGATATGTGCTGCAGGAGACAGGTCTGGCGTGATATCAACCCCCAAGTCTTTTCCTTCTCTGACTCCTGAAGAATTTCCTCTCCCAGATGATACCTTGTATCTGGCCTCCTGCTCCCTACACCTATCTTCATTACATTACATTTGGTTGGGTTAAACTCTAACAACCATTTGTTCGACCATTCCTTCAGCTTGTTTAGTCTTCTTGAAGCCTCAACAGTCTTCTTCGTGGTGTGTGTGTGTGTGTGGTGTGTGTGGTGTGTGTGTGTGTGTGTGTGTGTGTATGTGTGTGTGTGTGTGTGTGTGTGTGTGTGTTG